TTTTTTTTTTTTTTTTTTTTTTTACTTTACCAATGTGTAGTGGCCTTCTTTATATCTTCTGATTTTGGCTTGAAATCTACTTTGTGAGATAATAGTACAGTGACTCTTGCTTTTGGATTCCATTTGAATGGACTACTGTTTTCCATCATTTCACTTTTGTTCTGTGTGTTTTTGCCAGTGAGGTGTGAGCTTGTAGGCAGTAAACAGTTGGGTTTTGTTTTTTAAAAACATTCTGGCAGGTTCTGTCCTTTAATAGGAGTATTAAGATAATTTACATTCAGGCTTATTATTGGAAGATTTGTACTAATTCTAATAGTTTTGTTTTTTTCTAATTTTTGTTTCTTTCCTAATTCTTATTTATCTATTCTTCTCCTGTGGATAGGATTCCTTTAAGTATCTTCTGCAATTCTGGCTTATGGTCTTGAATTCCCTTAGTGTATGGTTGTCTTGGAGGTCTTAATTTTCCTTCAACTTTGAAGGATATCTTTGCTGGATATAGTAATTTGGGTTTGCAGTTATTTTTTTCAGGGCTTGAAATACACTGTTCCATTCTCTCCTGGTCTTTAGAGTTTCTGCTGAGAAATATGTAGTTATTTTGATGGGTTGCTTTTATATGGGACTAGGCATTTCTCTCTTGCAGCTTCCAAAACTATTTCCATATTCTGTACCCTGACAGTTTAAGTATAATGTGTGGAGACATTCTTTTCTAGTCATTCATGTTTATGATTCTAAATGCCTCTGATACCTGGATGTCCATGTGTTTCCCAAGATTAATTTTCTGCTACTTCACTGAATAGATTCCGTGCCTTTTATCTGTAGCTTGGCACCATCTTCTGTGCTTACAACTCATAAGTCATGTTCCAGAATTCTTGAGTGTTTTGTTTATAAATTCCTATTTTTTCTTTATTAGTGTCTGACTATAATAATTTATCATCCCATCTTCTTACTCAGAAATTCAGTCTTCTGCTTGAGCCAGTCTATTGCTGAGGCTTTCCACTGGGTTTTGATATAATGTGCTGAGTTTTTCAGTTACAAGATTTGTTTTTTTCCCCCATAATCTCTATCTGTGATTCACTCTTTCATATCCTGCATTATCGTTCTTACTTTATTCAGTGGCATTTATTTGTATCCTCTTTGAAATCATTGATCACTTAAAAATTAGTCTGTCGAATTCTTTTTCCATTACTTCATTCATTTCAACATCTTTGTATTCAATTACTGAAGAGTTATGAACCTTTGGAAGAGTTATGTCTTTTTTTCATATTGTGATTCTGTGTTGAAATTTGCACTTCAAATGGGTGGATACCTCTTCCACTTTTATGTGAGGGTCTTAGTGAAAAGCCTTCTTTGAGGGCTTGATCCCTTGTTCTTTTCATAGAGGCAAAAACAAGATGTAACAATGACACAAAGACAAAGACAATCCAGATATTGAAATACAGTAAAACTGGTTAAAACCAGTGACCAATAACAATAGAAAAACTATAAAAATAATAGAGTAAACTAAAAGAATAAAAAGTTACAATAGAAAAGCAGAAAAGATGGGAAAAGAGAAAGTGAATAACCATCAAGGTTAAAAGGAAGAGAAGATCGAGAGAAAGCAGCCCAATTCAAAAACACAAATTTTGCATATTTTTCCTAATATGTGGAGTCCACAAAAGACGATAAGAAAGTAGAAGGGAGACTGTTGTTAGACAAGAGAAAGGGAATAAGAGGAGGGGAGAGGGGGTGTAAGGGCAGGTAATAGGGGATGAATATGAGCAATGCATATGATACACATTGAAACCCCTGCAAAAATGTGCAACTGGAGAGATGGCAGGGCAAGGGAATAATGGGGTTGATAAAAGTGATGAAAATATGTTATGTGCATATACAAATCTCCCAAAACGATACAGCAGAGGGACATGGTGGAGGAAAGTTGCTCATATTATGGCATCCAGGAAGCAGAAGAGAGGAGCCGGGGAAGGAGATACACACTTCCAAGTCACATCCCTGATGACTACCTCCTACCAAGTCCAACCTCCTAACAGCATATTGAATAATGGAGTAATCAGTGCACTAATAGTGCTTTCACAGTCCAAGCACCTTCCAACAGCTCCCTCTCTAAACACAAGAAACTGTTGGGGGACATTCTAGATTGAAACCATACTAAGATTTTCTCCAGTACTCTTTGACTGTGGTCCAGTTCCTTGAGGTAAAACTCGAAAAAGTGTGAGGTTCCCAGTGACAAGGCTCTGTGTTTTTATCTCTCAGTTGTCCACACTGAGCCTCTAGTAACTTGCCAATCCTGGCTCAACTTTCCTTACATCAACCCTGACTCCTGTGTTCAGACTCATGAGTTTCTGCTCTGGCAAGTATAAATTCTCTGCCTTTGCCTGTCAGGCTCCCAATTTTGGAGTGACCCAACATTCTGGATCTAGGTGCTGTTGATTTTTTTCAGTTTGTTTAGCTTTTTACTTACTAGTAAAAACTTGTTAGTTCAGTTTCCTATATGCTAGGCTAGATGTTTCAAGTTTTTTAATTGTTATAAATAATACTGCTGTGACCGTTAATGTAATCTTTTTGTGGAATAGGAAAGACCTTTCTAGCTAGATCTGTCTTAACAAGATCTCAAACAAGGAGGCATAAGAGAAAAGATTGACTAATTTCCTTAGTATAAAATGCCAACTATCCTTTAGAAAAATGAGCAAAAAATACAAACAGTCTACAGAGGTGATTATAATAAGTCATTTATTGCAGAATTGTATATTATTAAAGTACTGGAAACAATATAAGCAACCTTCCCTAGAAGGTGTTCAATTATGGTACATAATCCCGCTATACTGATATGAAATGATTTGTAAGCTGTACTGTGCTTTAAAAGAAGTGAATTTGACAGTAGGTGTGTATAAGGAAAGTGATTATGTCACAGTGAAAGTATTTGGGTTAAAAAGGAACTGTTGTATTAGACAATGAGAAAAAATTATGTGCTCATGTATGTGTGGGTCTCTTGTAAAAATAGGTAAGAGATAGCCTCATAGAGGGGCAGGGATGGATGCTTGGAAACAAGGGCTGGAAAACAGACTTTCAACGTTGTCTCCTACTGTTCTGTATAGCATTTTAAAATTATATGCCTTATCTGTGAATTAGAAACTAAAAATGAGAAGCCTGTGGCCCTCATAACACGAAAGCATTAATATTAGTCTTTAAAGTGGCTTCACTTACAGTGGTGGATATCATCTGGGTGCCTCATTTTCCTTATATGTAAAGGAGGGTGATAATAAAATCTAGCTTTTAATGACACAATTTGGTGAAGTGCTTAGAGAAGCATTTGGTGCACAGCAAGTTGTCTCAGAGTCCTGTGTTACAGTGCTCGGCAGATGAATGACACTGAGAAGTTAATGGCACTGCAAGTTAACTTGATGAGCTAGAGCCATGCAACAAAGATTTTATTTTTTAAGTAGAAAATGAGGCCTGGAAAACTTGAGTCTTTAGTCTGGGTAGGTGGATTTGATCCCCGCTATGGGTTAGCCTGCATTTCTCTTTTTGTCTGAGCAAACTCTAATCCTGAACAGCTCTGGTGATCTCAGATTGACTGTTCTGGGAATCTGATTTCAGGACACCTCCTACCTGTTTATCACGGGCCCTGATGTGGTGAAGTCTGTTACCAATGAGGATGTCACCCAGGAGGAGCTTGGTGGTGCCAAGACCCATACTACCATGTCAGGTGAGAGGCCTGAGGGTAACTATTTTCACATAGTGAAAAGAGGGGATCACTACATAGAATAGAGACATTTTCTTTTCTTAAAGTACTACTTAATTGGCAGAACTTATTTGGGAAGACTGTGGTACAATTTATTCTTTATAAATACATTGATAGAGGTAAATTTAGTATCAGATTTCTCAAATAATAGGGTATTGATACAAGGGATAATCAAAATAGATGGTAATGGTCTAAATTTATTTGTTTTTATTTTTTTCCGATACTGGGGATTAAATTTAGGACCTTGTACTTATGAGTCAGGTGTGGTGCCACTGAGCTAAATCCCTGACCCTAAAGGTTTAAATTTTAAAAATTTGTTACATTAAAAGATAAATCGCCATTAATGCCTCTCAAAATACTCCAACTTCAAGCATATTTTCCCATTCATTGTTCTTGCCACTTTCTGAAGCAGTTCTGGAAGTCTTCTTTTACGAGTGACTTTCCAAGGCTTGATCAAAAACTTGGTGAATGTTGCAGCTGAATGTTATCCAACAGAAAGGCAGGCTCATAAAAACAGTGAAGTGGGTTTGTCCTTATCCACATTTTCTGGCACTGTGTGACTTCTAGCTCTTCCCCAAAATTAAAATGACCATGAAAGGTAAATGTTTTGAATTGAATCAAGAATGGAGGCAGCTAGGAAAGCACAGTTAAGAATACTTATGAAAGAGGATTTCAAAATTTACTTGAGAAAGTGGCAAGTGATAGAGCCTCTCTGACTCCTGTAATTGGGATACCTGGAAATAACAACTTGGTGAAGAGAAAAAAAAAAAGTAGATCTCCTGGAATTAGCTGACAGACCACTGCCACTAACAAAACTAGAAACCACAGAGAGACTAGCAAAACAGAGGACAATGCAGAGAAAATAACAAAGCAGTCGTCTGGAAAGGTGACCACATTTCTTGGAGAGGGAGACCTGTCTCTAGTGACAAGAGATATACCCTGGCTTGGATGGTTGCTGCAGCTTCAAGTGAGCTCTGGAGTAAGGGTACACCTCACACACACACGCACACACACACACACACACACACACACACACACAGTTCTTAAAGCTGGGCAGGGAAAAGCAGGACTTGCAGCGTGCACAGTGATACAGAAGTGGGAATTGCCAGTGTGTTCACATCCCTAGGGCAGACATCATTGACTGAGCATGCCCAGTTGTGAAATTGGGACAGGATACAGAAACAAACACAAGAATGTGAGTGTGGAAACAATATAGGTCTTAGCAAAGATTCACTATCTCACTCTCATATCTGGTGGATGCAATACTACAGACCCTGGAAAGAAACCACTCATCAAAAACACAGGAATTTAAAATTTTTTTTTCTTTATTGGGGGATTGGGTTGCTTTTCTTTTCCTTTTTCTTTCTTTTCTTTCCTTTGCTCTTTTTTTCTTTTTCTTGTTTCTTTTCTGTTACTTTGGTCAAATTCTATTAAGTTTTATTCCTTAATACTTCACTTCTCACACCTCTTTTTTCATCTTCCTATCTTCCTTTCCTTTTTCTTTTATTGTCCCCCTTCTTCTCCTCTGTCTTTACTAGTATTACTATTAAAATTTATTAGTCAGATATTTAGTTAACTCTATGCTATCACTCTTGAATTCTTTTCTATTGTTAATTATAATAGCTGTTGCATTTAGCAGGTATTTGCTGTAGGTCAATATTTGGCTTGTTTTTATGTCTATTATAACTATAGATGTTTCTTCTGTGGTTAAAGTTGATATAGTGGTAGCTTTTATTAGTTTTTATGGAATGCCAATATTCAATATGTCTGATTCTATTACTGTTGCTGATTTTATGGCTAATGTCAGGGTGGCATAGTTGTTATTAATTGTTTTTTTCTGTATACCAATATTTGGATTGTCTTAGTGTCATGAGTAATACCGTTTCATTTCTGGAGAACTATGTGCTTGGCTAATTACACTGCTTATTACTAATTACTCTCTTCTCCCAAATTAATGGGGGTGGTTAGATTTTAAGACAGAGCCAAAGGCCTATAATCAGCCACACCCATTGTGCATCACTGAAAAGCAGACACTAAAGAGATTGCTGTACTACCAACACAGTCTTTCTACTAAAATCAACCTGCACCCTGAGCACAAAACAGCAACAGCAGCAAAAAAAAAAAACAAAAAAACAATTAGAAGACAAAAAAGCTGATCCATGGGGCATTGATAGGGAGGAAGTCAAATGCCATACAGCTTGATTTTCTGAAATGGTAAGAGTAGACAAAAACAGATAAATAAGGTGTTTGGTAAACTGAGACATGATCTGTCTAAACAAATAATGGACTTAATAAGAAAAAAAGACCAGTGAGCTTACAGAAGACACTAATAAAAAGCTAAGTGAGATAAAACAATACCAAACATGAATGGCCAACTTTGTAAAGAATTAGAATCCATGAATAAGTACCGAAGAGAAATCTAGGTGATAAAAGAATTCCATTGAAAATATGAGCAGCAGAAGTGACAGTGTCAGACATAGAAGATAGGGCTGATGCAAATAACTGTATGCTCAAAGATACCTTAAAGTGAACATGGCAAATGGATTCAAGAGCTGCTAGATAACACAAAGACTAAGATTAATTAGAATTAGTGCAAAATTAGAGGACAGCATGAATACCATAACCTGTTTTTAGAAATAATAGAAAACTTTCCAAAGGTGGGGAAAAAATTCAACATATAGATAATTGAGGCATATAGAATGCCAAATAGGCATGATTAGAAAGCAACTTCTTCACGACACAGCATAGTCAAAATCCCAGACCTTCAACACAAGGAGAGAGTCTCAAAAGCTGTTGGCGAAAAGCAACAAATCACTTTTAAAGACACTATCTAGTTACTTTTCTTGTTACCGAGACAAAATAGTGAATACTCATAAGTTAAAGGAGGAAAGGTTTATTTATTCCACAGTTTGTAAAAGTTTCAGTGCATAGTCAACTGGCTCCAAGGCAGGACATCATGGCAGAGGGGTCTCACATAGGAGAAATAGTCCATGGCAAAGTAGAGCAGGCAGAAGGAAGCCAGCGGTGAAGTAGCAAAGCAGCAGTAAACCTTCTTTCTGTCCATTACATTCTATCCAGGTTACCCACCTTTGGCAGGTAGCACTCACACCCAGTGTGGGGCAACCTTAATCCCAGCAATGCAGTCTTAATCCCTGTATCATATTCTTTTTTATTTTATTTTTTCCTTCATCACATTCTTAATCCCAGCATCACAAACGTTCAATCTCCAGTACCAAAACAAACATGGAAAAAGAGCCCCACCTATGATCACATGAGACTTTGGGTGAACACTTAGGACAAGCCATAACAGGTACCCAGTTAGAATTACAGTACACTTCTTGACACAAACTTTAAAGACCAGAGGCGCTTAGAAGTGCTTCAAGGCCTAAAAACAACATCCAACCTAGGCTGATATATCCTGCAAGATTCTCTTTCAAAATTGATAGAAAGAAAGCCAGGCGTGGTGGTGCATGCCTGTAATCCCAGAACTCAGGAGGCTGAGGCAGGTGAGTTCCAGGTCAGTCTCAACTATATATTGAGACCCTGTCTCAAAAATCCATACACACACACATACACACACACACACGCATACATACAAGTGCACCCATGCACAAAATTAATGGAGAAATAACTATTTCCATAACAAGAGCATCTTAAGAAATTCATGGTCACCAAACCAGCACTCCAAAAAATTCTCAAGGATATCCTAGGAAAAAGAATAGATGCAACTATGCCAAAAAAATTTAATGAGTATACCAGGCAGTTTGAGCAACTGGACAGTAGGAAAAATGTGGAAATCAGCCACAGGGAAGTAATGCAATAATAGGAATAAGTTGGGGTTTTTTTTCTTTTTTTTTGGGTACTGGGGATCGAATTCTGGACCTTGTGCTTGCAAGGCAGGCAGCAGAGCCACTGAGCTAAATCCTAGGCCCATAAGTTGGTATCTTTTAGTAATAACTCTCAATGTTAATGGTCTCAATTCCCCAATCAAAAGACAGACTGCCAAACTGAATCAAAAAACAAAACCCAATGGAATTCTATGTAGAAGAAACACATTTAATAAAAAAGTTTCTAGACTATAAATTAAAGACTGGAAACAATATTTCATCTAACAGGAAACTGAAAACAAGCAGCAGAAGCTGTCCTATTTTCAGACAAAATGGAATTCAAGCCAAAACTGATCAGGAAGGGAGAAAGAAGGTCACTGCACTGGTTAAGGGAACAGTTCAATAGGAAGTGATAATAAATATGCATACACACCAAACACTGGTGCACCTAACTTCATTTAGAAAAAAAAACCCTGGACGTAATAAAGCAGATAAATGTCAACACAATTATAGTAGAGAATCTTTATGGACTTAATAGATATCTACAGAGTTATATCCAACAACAGAATACACATTCTGCTCAACAGCACATGGAGCTTTTTCCAAAATGGACCAAATACTATAAAGCATGCCTATGTAAATGTAAAAGAATTGAAATTATCCTATGCACATTGCCATACTGTAGTTCAGTGAAACTAGAATCATTGGCAAAAGAAGCCACATAAATTATGGAAACACATAAAGTTTAAATCAATATTTAATAATCAGTGGATCACAAAATAAATCAGTTCCTAAAATTGGCTACCAGTATAACACATACCAGAACTTAAAAGACACAGTGAATACAGTCCCACGAGGGACTGTGGCTTATGAATGCTCACATCAGAGAAGAGTGAGCACAAATAAATAACTTAATGATATGCCTTAAGGTCCTAGAACAGAGGTGGTGAAGCAAGCTATAGCACATTCGCTACAGTGGGCATACAGAGCCCTCTGTCAGCACATGAGCCAAATTGCTCCAGCATCCCCCAGCTGCTAAGCATTGGATATTTATTTGCGATTTCAGTGTTGGCACTTTGCAATAAATAAGTGGGTTTTGGGTTGCAGGTTGGGCACTTGGTCTCTAAAAAGTTCCAT